TCTCTGGATATCGCATCTTTTGATCTGAGTCGCTTTGGTGGTGGAGGGAGGGAGGTGGAAGAGACCGTCGACCCGGAATCCCTTGACCTCCGCCTTTCTCCTCCCCGTCCCCTCCCTGCCTCCACTCTCCACAGCCCTCACACGTCTCGCTGCCCCACGGGGAACACCAACCTACGGTTCAGTCGGACCTGTCCCTCCACAGGGGGACTATTCAAAGATAGTTTAAACAATAGCCTGGGGACGATTTTCTGACCATCTTTGGATACATATATATATATATAAATATAAATATGTTGGGGGTATTTTTTGGGGTATGTTTTTATTTGTCGTCCGACATCTGCGTGCAGGGGGACAGGCCCGACTTGAACCCTGCGGCCCCGGTGGGCGCGTGGCTCCTGGCCCCATGCAGGCTGCACCTCCCACGGTCCCCGTGTGGGCACAGGCGCGTGGCGCGCCACCGGGCCCACCTCGGCACACCCCTCGCTAGGATGAAGTCGGGCCTGGCCCTCTGCAGGGGAATGTCCAAACATAGTTAAGCAAACAGTCTGGGGACGAGTTTTTGATACTGCTTTTGACCGTTTTGGGGGTGTTTGTTGGGTATGTGTTACTTTTTTGTCTAAAGCTCCCCCTGTATGGGGGACAGGCCCGACCTAACACTAGGATCGTGACCCCGTTTTGGCTCAAGGCTCAAGGCCCTTGGCAGGCATATTGAAAGTTACCTTGAACCATCTTGGCCAGAGCAATAGTATGGGGCACGTCGTGGCCGTGGGTGCAGGAGCAGCCAGCAGCACATGCGCGCCAAGCCAGGCGTCGTCATGATGCCCGGCTGCGAGACATCGGGATCGTGAAGGAGGACATGCTCCATTTCATAAGGCAGACGATCGCAGCCGAATTCGCCTAGGCCGTGGACAGCAGCGGCAAGAGCGGCGATCAGCCAGACATGCGCATTAAGATCCTCATTCCTGCGCCTGCGCCCGATGGCGAGAGGAAGGCGGTGGACGAATGGTGGAGCAGACGATGGACCTGGGCAGCATTCAGCTGATGACGGATGCTACTGCTAATCGGTTCTGGAAGGGAGCTTCGCTGGGCTCGTGGCCTTGTCCGCCCAGGCGCTGGCTCGGAGGCGACCTCGAGGGCCACGAACCTGCGCAAGCGCAGCCGCGGTTTCGTTTGTCGCAGAGGCACGGTGCCACCACCGCTCTTGCGCACTCCTTGCGAGGATCGTGGCTCAGCAGGGGCCTCCACCTGCGGTCCCGTGGTGCACAGACGTGCGGCGCCTCCGCGCCAATGACGGGGATGGCGGCCCCTATGGGGAGCTCTGCCTATGGTAGCGGGCGCAGGCGTATGGCATCGCGCCCGTTTCGGCACACCCCTCAGCAGCGTCGTGGCCCCACAGGAAGCTCCACAGGCTCGCTGGGTGCCGACGCACGGCGCGACGGCGCCCCTGTCCGTACACCCCTCACGCGGCTCGTGGCCCCATATGGGATCTCCACAATACGGTTCCGTTGGTCGCAGACGCATGGTGCCACCGCGCCCATTTCGAAACACCCCTCACGCGGCTCGTGGCCCCATATGGGATCTCAACCTACTGTCTCACTGGGCATAGGCGTATGGCGCCATCGCGCCAGTGTCGGCACACCCCTCACGAAGATCGTGGCCCCGTAGGGGATCTTCACCTACGGTCTCGGCCACTGTGCACATGTCGGCCCCCCCCGCAGGAAGATCGTAGTCTGATTTAGGTGTCCAGCAGGAAATCTCATCGGGCGCACATATATGGCGGCGCCGCGTCCATCTCGGCATCTTCCCCGCGCAGATCGCTGCCCGAAAGGGAGCCCCACAGGCAGTCTCACCGGACGCAGACCCATGGCGGCATCGCGCCCATGTCGGCACACCTCTCCCGAGGATCGTGGCCCCGGAATCTCCACCTACGATCCCATTGTGTCCGCATGGCCCCGCCGCGCCCATCCAAGACCGAAACAGGCAACCAGCAACGAGGAGCGGATCAGCCCTTCAATGACTCCCGGCGGCCATCATGGGTTCCCCAGGACGCGCAGCGCTGCAGGAGCGTCAGAGCTCCCAATTTCTCCCCCGAAGGGGGGGGAAAGATGAAGCTGGGTGCTCCCAGCTTCTCCCCCCAAGTGGTGGTGGGGTCGCGGGTGGATAGACCTCCTGCCCAGACACGTCGGTTGAGGAATTGGCCGTTTTCGGTTCGCGAGAGGGCGTCGCGGCCATCGTTTTTGCGGGTCCAGGCCCGTCGGTCTCGGTCCCAGGCCGTTTTCACTAAGGGGAGGTTTACTACAGGGAGGTTTGTCCACCGCCGAAATACATGCACGAAGGAAGGGTAAGCCCGGCCTCTCTACACCCTGGAGCCTTCTGGGCTCTGCCAGGACGGCGCACGGCCTCTGGGCCGATTGGCGACTGCCAGCGTGGGCGTCGTTGCAGGTGCCCTCCTCCCCTCCCGATGTCCGAGGCCTGGAGGTTGACTCCAGCGCCAATATCGGCGGCGTGCTTCCACCGAGGGAGAAGGATCCCGATTTCGGTGATGGTGGTGATATCCGGGCTTCCTAGGTGGCCGACCACCAGCACCGACATCTAGGATCATCTTTCCTCGGTGGAGGCCGCCCCCCCTGTGTTGGTGTTGGTACTCATTTCCAAGCCTTTCCGCGCCTCCTCTCTCCTTCACTTCTCGCTCCTCGTTTCGGGCCGCCTTGCCTTGCCGCGAGGCTGCGGATGTGACTGAATAAGAGTATCGCTCACGTGCCTTCTGGACACATTTCTTACGTGCCTTTTCTTCTTCTTCATCATCTTCTTCTTCGTCTTCTTCTTCGTTTTCTTCTTCTTCTTCTTCTTTTTCTCCCACACCTCTCCTGTTCTCCCCCGCCGGCCCGCGGCCGCGGAGGCCCGCAGAAGGGGAGCCTGGCGGAGCCTGGCGGCAAGGGCAGCCCCGAGACGAAGGTCTGGGGTGGGGCTGCGGATCGGGTGGAAGGGAGGAGGAGAAGGAGGAGGAGGAGGAGGCTCCCAATAGGAATCTTTTTGGTGTTGGCTTTCAGCAGAATCCTTGTGTATTGGCTTTCTATAGGGATCCTTTTGTGTAGAGGCTTTTAGTTGGAAGGTTCAGGAATCCTGGATTCTTCCCGAGGTAGGTTTTAGGAAGGTTTATTTGGAAGGTTCCAGGAATTCTGGATACGTCACGAGGAATGTTTTATTTTTATGTTTTTCTTTCCTTTCTTTTGGGAGGTGCCAGGAATCCTGGGTTCTTCCTGAGGAAGGTTTTCGTTTATTTTGAGGTTCTAACAATCCTGGGTTCTCCCTGAGGAAGGTTTGAGTAACAGTTTCTTGTTTAAAAAAAGAGTTCCAGGGATCCTGGATTCTTCATGAGGGAGGTTTTACGAAGGCTTTTTTGTTTTACATAATTTTTCATAAAAAGGAATGCGGAATTCTCCCTGGGGAGGGTTTTAGGAAGGTGCAAGGTTTCGATCTGAGTCCTTCTGTAGAGGCTCTCAATAGGAATCCTTTTGTGGAGACTCTCAATCGGAATCCTTTTTTTAGAGGTTCTCACTAGGAATCCTTTTGTAGAGGCTCTCAATCGTAAATCTTTTGTGTTGGCTTCCACTAGGGATCCTTTTGTAGAGGCTCTCAATCGGAATCCTTTTTGTAGAGGCTCTCAATAGTACATCTTGTGCAACAAGACTTTCAATAGGAATCCTTTATGTAGAGGCTCCCAATAGGATTTTTTTTGTAGAGGCTCTCAAGAGGAATCCTTTTGTTTAAAGGCTTTCAATCGGAAACCTGTTTGTAGAGGCTCTCAATAGGAATCCTTTTGTCGAGGCTCTCAACAGGAATCCTTTTGCACAGGTTCCCAATAGGAATCCATTTGTATTGGGTTTCAATCGGAATCCTGTTGTATTGGCTTTCAATAGGAATCCTTTTGGGTAGAGGCTTTCGATAGAAATTGTTTTGTGGAGGCTGTTAATCGGATTCCTTGTGTATGTGCTTTCAATCGGGATCCTTTCGTAGAGGATCTCAATCGGAATCCTTTCATATTAGGTTTCAATAGGAATCCTTTCTGTAGTGGTCTCACTAGGAATCTTTTTGACGAGGCTCTCAACGGGAACCCTTTTGCACAGGCTCTCAATATGAATCCTTTTGTATATGCTTCCAATAGGAATCCTTCTGTATTGGCTTTCATTCGGAATCTTTTTTTGTAGAGGCTCTCACTAGGAATCATGTTGTAGAGGCTTTCGGTAGGAATCGTTTTGCCGAGGCTGTCAATAGGAATCCCTTTGCATTGGCTTTCAATCGTAATACTTTTGCACAGGCTCTCAATCGGAGGAGTCCTGTTGCACAGGCTCTCTATCGGAATCCTTTCTGTAGAGGCTCTCAATAGGACACCTTTTGTCGAGGCTCTCAACAGTAATCCTTTTGCACAGGCGCTCAATAGGAATCTACGTGTATTAGGTTTCAACAGGGATCCTTTTGTATTGGCTTTCAATAGGACTCCCTTTTGTAGAGGCTCTCAATCGGAATCCTTGTGTGAAAGGCTTTCAATAGGAATCATTGTGTAGAGGCTTTCAATAGGAGTCCTTGTGTAGAGGCTCCAACAGAAATCCTTTTTGTGGAGGCTCTCAGCAGGAATCCTTCTGCACAGGCTCTCAATAGGAATCCAATTATATTGGGTCTCAATCCTTTTGTATTGGCTGTCAATACCAGTTTTTTTGTAGAAACTCTCACTAGGAGTCCTTTTGTAGAGGCTTTCAATAGGAATACTTTTGCAGAGGCTCTCAATAGGAATCATGTTGTAGAGGCTCTCACTAGGAATCCTTATGTGGTGGCTCTCAATAGGAATCCTTTTGTAGAGGCTCCCAATAGGAATCCTGTTGTAGACGCTCTCAGTTGGACGGTTCCAGGAATCCTGGAATCCCTGGGGCTTCCTGGGGCCTTCTGGGGCTCTCGAAATTTTCGGGGCATTGAAACACAAAACAAACCAAGGTTCAACCAAACAACAAAACCAAAAACACACAATGAAACACCAAACACATCCAAACCACCAAAGGTTGCAGCACTTTCTCAGTGAGGGCGGCGGGGATGGGGTAAGTCTTGAAACGATGTTTTTGTTTTTCTGTTGGCATTTTTTTTTTTTTTTTTTTTTTTTTTTTTTTAGTTTTTCAGCCCTTGGTCTTTGGCTTCTTTGTTTTTTGTTGCTCCTTGAGTTTTTTTTGGTTTTTTAGTGCCCACGCTCCTGCAGGAGGAGGAGGATGAGAGGGATGGGGGGGAGGGGAAGGAGGATAAGGAGGATGGGGAAGGGGGGGGGGGAGGCTGCCACGCTCCTGCAGGAGGAGGAGGAGGGGGAGGAGGAGAAGGGGATGAGAGAGAGGAGAGAGAGAACGAGAGAGAGAACGAAGAAGAGTGGAGGAGGATGAGGAGGAGGATAGATGGGATACATGGAAGAGGAATTGGGGGGGTGGGTGGGGGGTGGGGTGGGGGGGGGGGCGACCACTTATATACATATATATATGTATGTATATATATATGTATATATATATGTGTGTGTGTTCAAACAGATGGTACAAACAACTCTTGTGCCTCGAGAGTTCTCGAGGGCAGTCTGACACAATCTCCAGCCCTCGTAAGGTTTTTTTTGCAGCCATCTAGAGAGTTAGGCAATCCGATCGCCTTTAGCAAGAGTCTAGAAGTGCACTACCTGCGGGAGGGCAGACAAATCGTATAGGTGAAGAGGGTGAGGACACATAGACCGAAAGAGAGAGAGAGAGAGAGGGAGACATAAGCAAAGACGATACATATAATAATGAAGAGAAGGTAAACAGAGCGTAACACTCTTCTGGAGCACCGAGGGACTCCACACTCTCCCGGGCTCTAGGAAGAGGAGGAGGAGGAGGAGGAGGAGGAGGAGGAGGAGGAGGAGACGGTGGTTGCTTGATGTTATGCTTGGTGCTGCAATGTGGGCCTGTGTGGGCTGCTGCGATCGTCGGACCTGGTTGCCTTGTACTATGTTGTTTGATGCAGTGCGGTGCCGTCTAGGTTGCCCAGAATCGAGGATATCTTGTTGCTGTGTAGTGACTTGTGCCGTGCCGTCCGTGCTTATCTTGTGGTCAGTCAGAACAGGGTTTTTGGATTTGTCGTCCAGGGCCTTTCTGCAGGATGTCGACAGCCACGCGCGCGTCCCCTCGATGCTGCTGTGTGGTGCTGCGGGGGTGCTTCGATGTGTGTTGCACGTTTGGTGTCCCGAAATTTGCTTTGGCAGCGAGATGCCGTGGAGTGCCGTGCAAAGCCGCCGTGTGGTTTGGCTCGTGGTGCTGCTGGGTAAGTGCGGCTTGGTGCCATGCAGCGGTACAAACAAGGCGCTGAGATGAGGAGCGGTTCGGGTTCGGAAGGGGATCGCTGTCCCTTGGGTCCTCCCATGGTTGTTCATCCCGAGCTCCTCGTGCACGCAGGCGCTTCTTCTGGCGTCAAGGCAGAACTTACTTCCTCGTGCAGCGCTCCTTGTGGCCGCAGCTTGACTGCATGAGGTGGTGCCAGGCGTGGTGCCCAGAGGCCCGACCGCCGGCGTGGCTCCCTCGTGCGCCGCCGCAGCGGGCTGCGGCGCGCAGCCCCCGGAGGTCTGGCCGGGTGGCCCCCTCGAGGGGCGGGGCCGCGCAGCGGTGACGCGTGGCAGCGCCGCTCGCGGTCTCGCGCGGCTCGACCCAGCGGCCCAGGGCCGCGCGGCTCTGGGCGACGGCGCCGCAGGGAGCCGTGCGCGGTGCCCCGGGGTGCTGTCGGGTGGCCTTGGGCCGGGCTGCGCCGCGCCGAGGCAAGTTCGACTAGACGTAAGAGTAAGAGTGACCTTTCGCCAGAGTGACCTTTTGTGTGGGCACAGATGGGTCCCCAGATGGCTGAAAACGAAGCAGGAGCAGCGGCTTGCAAGCCCATGTTTGGTCCCCTCCTGGCCCCCAGAAAGCCGCGCACCAAAGGTCACTCTTACCCAGGGTCACTCTTGCGTGTAGCCGACAAGTGCTGTCAGGTCTTCCCGACGGGCCGTCAGCCTCCGAGGGTTGACCGCGTGTGTTGCTCTTGCGCTGGCCGTGCCTTCGCCTTGCCAGGTGGCGCCGCCGTCGGTATCCTCATCTTCGTCATCATGCTCTCAAGGAAGGGCGCTGAGGTGAGGACCACGTTGGGCTCAGGCGTGGCTGCGGTTTTCAGGCCGTTCCTCTGATCTAGGTCGGGGAACCTTGTCGTGGCCGAGGCTCGCCGTGGCCACAAAAGTCCACCTGATATCCGTAGGGGCTTCGCCCCCAAGCCGCCGGCACCCCTCTCTTAGAATGGGACTTGCCAGAGCTGTGTTGGGATGTCTCGACGCTGACGCGAAGCAATGTCGGGACTTCACGCGAGGGCCAATATTCATTTACGAGGGTTTATGGCTTCGGTGGCGCGAATATTAGGTAATTTACAATGTTTTGTGGCGTCGGGGACTCGAATCTTGAATCATTTACAAGGGTTTGTTGCCTCGGGGACGCAATTCACTAATTTACTAAGGTTTACGGCCTCGGGGGCGCAAATATAGTGTAATGTACGATGTTTTTTTTGGCCTCGGGGACGTGAATCATGTGTAATTTGCAAGGGTTTGTTGCCTCGGGGACGCCAGCATGGTGTAATTTAACAAGGTTTGTGGCCCTGGGGACGCGAGTATTGTTTAATATGCAAGGGATTCTGATTTCGGGGACGCGAATCTGGTGTAATTTAAAAGAGCTTATGGCCTCGGGACGCGAATTTGGCGTATATGCTGTAATTTACGTTGGTTTATGGCCTCGGGGACGCGAATCATGCGTAATTTGCAAGGGTTTGCTGCCTCGGGGACGCAAATATGGTGTAATTTATAAAAAGGTGTATGACCCTGGGGACGCGAGCATTGTGTAATCTACGAGGGATTCTGGCTTCGGGGACGCGAATCTGGTGTAATTTACGATGGCTTATGGCCTCGGGGATGCGAATATGGTGTAATCTTCTAGGGATTATGGCCTCGGGGACGCGAATGTGATGTATTTTGGTGTGTTCCTTGCACCCCCAGGAATTCAGGCAACGCGACCTGCGCGTGGTAAAAAAGCTGGTTTGGGGCTCTCCCATATCGCGCGTTCAGCAACAATTAACAATAAGGAAGCAGAAACTAGGACTAACAGTGGAAACTCGAACCTGCAACTGGTACAGGGAGCTGCAATCCTCACCCTCGCAGCCTGGTGGCCCCGCAAGCGGGCTGGCGGATCCTTGTTCGGCTTTCCCTTCGGTAGCACGATTGCTGTCATCTGGTCGCTGGAAGCCTGTGATGATCGTCGTCGTCGTCGTCGTCGTCGTCGTCGTCGCCATCGCTAACCCAAGCGCCGTCTTGGTTCAATAGCTGCGGCAGTAGCCTCAGCAGAGATGGCGACAACGCGGGGTGGGAAGCGCGCTAGGCGTTTGGGACCTGCGGTGTTGGCACTGTCCTGGCTGTTGGTGTGCAGCATCGTCTCGCTGGGTGCCCCTGCAACTGGCCGAGTCGGCAGCGAGCAGGCTGCAGTGTCGCTGCTCAGGGCGTCGAAGCATGCCGAGAAGCAGGAGGATCACGTCGGGGGCAAGCTCCGCGACCGGCTGCGCAAGCACGGGGTGCGGCCGCCCTCGCTGCACCTGGACGCCAGCGACACCGAGAAACAGATCAAGCGCGTTCTGCACATCTAGGGGACCACATCACATGCGAACCCTACCCCTACCCCCCCACGATTTCTGATGGGGAGGGTGGGGGGTAGGGGTAGGGTTCGCATGTGGTCCCCTAACATCGGGCGCTTCCCCAGGATGTGGCAGGAGGAGTGGGTCGGGCCGGCAAACCTGGAGCGTGCCAGCCTTCGTATCTCCTATAAGAAGCAACGGCTCAAAGATAAGCTATGGGCGCTCCGCGCGGATTTCTTGGATCCGCGCTGGGGCGCCCCCGGCGGCGCCTCCTGCGCTGCACCTGGCGCGCTCTGCGCGCCAGGGAGGGGGGTCCAGCGCAGATCCAGGGAATCTGCGCGGTGCGCCAAAAGTTTACGTTTATGTCGTTTTTTCTTGTTCAAGTATCAATGGCATGGAGACTTATGCAATCGTGGCAGCCGTATTGCTTCAGTGTATCTTGGGGCTCTACGGCTCCATTGCAGAGCCCCAGGACGACGACCCGCGGATTATGTTTCCGGTGCTGCAGAGAGCAGTCTTCGAGGCCCAAATGGTGCTTCTGATGATCGCAGTGCTTTGTAGTACCTACTCAATGGTTATGTATCTGCTGATCAAGATCTACGCTGTGACGGCCCTTGGTGTATATAAGGATGTGGCTTACAGGGCGTTCACAGTAGCCACTGGCAGGTACAGGTCCCACGCTTTCTGGGCCCTGATAGCTTCCATTATTACGTTCCTGATGGCATTTGCGTTGAACTTGTACAGCAAGGTGAAGGGCAAGCGAGGTCTTCTTTTGTCAGTCTTCACAATGGTCCTCGTCTACATGGTCCTTCTGGAAGGGGCGGGTGTGTTGCTGAGTGCAGACAAGCACATATTCGGTGCTTAAGTTGTCCAATTGCGCTGACGCGCATACCAGCCACCGCGCTTGGAGAAGCCGCGTAGCAATGCTGGGGTGTTGTGAAGCTGTGGCTTTGCAGGCTTGTTGCAGTGCCACTTGTGGGTCTTTTCGGAACCACTGGCTCCTGGAGGACGTTTTTTTTTTTTTTTTTTTTTTTGTTTTTTTTTTGTTTTTTGTTTTTTTGTTTTTTTGTTTTTTTTGTTTTTTGTTTCTGTTGGTGTTGTTCGTTCCCCCCCCGTTGTTTGGGCGGTCGGAAGCTTGAAAAGGCAGTAGCGCCCAAATTTTTCAAAAACCTGAGCGAAATCAATGTCTTGCCTCTTCGGGCCCTCTCGGGCTCCTCTTGGAGCCCTCCTGGGACGTCTTGGGTGCCTCTTGGGCCGTCTCGAGACCAACTTGGGCCATCTTGGAACGCTGCTGGCCTGACGTCGTGGGGCCCGCCACCTATTTGGCACCTCCTTGGGGCGCTTCTGGGGCGCTGTGGTGGTCCCCGGGGCCGCGCCTGTGAGCTCTGGCATCTCTGACCCGACCCTGCGGGGGTCTTGCCAGGGCTTCGCCGGGACCTCGCCGGGGTACTTCTCTCGTCGGGGGACCCCCAGGGGCAGCCACGTACGCGCGAGCCAGAGACATTCTTGAACTCGTGCTGGAGATTTTAGCACGCCTCTGGCCTGTTGGGCCAGCGGATTTTGCGAAGTTGGCTCTCTCGGTTGTGTATTGCGGGGTGAAGTCAGCATGGCGGCCTCACTTGCTGATGTCAATGTCCAGTAAGTGGCGTTCCCGCGTTTTCGAACATGTGATGGGACACATCGGTTTTGTGAGCTTGCTTCACGTGCGCCTTGACTCACGAAAGCCAGTGTTTCCTTTTCGCCTGTCCATGGCGCTGTGACCCCGCTGAATGAGATTGTTGTAGAGGAGCGTGCCAGCATTCTTTCGAATCGAGAGGCACGAGAGCGACGCAAAGAAGGTGCTCGCCCGCGCGGACATTCGCGCTTTGGCTGCCGCGTAGTCGCGCGTGATCGCTCTCTTCTCCACGTAGTGTGCTCGGTAGTTCGCGAGGTCGCCGTGAGATCGTGCTTGGGTCGCCCACATGTCCGTAGAGAGTATTAGGAAGGCCTTACGGCCGGTGCCGCCAACGCTGAAGGGGGACGACGACCACGACGGCGGCGTCGGCGGCGACGAAGACGCTGACTTGGTGCAGAGTCCTCAGTTATGCTTCGTGGGGCCTCTTCGGAACGCGCTCGTAGGCCTCTGGGGGGTAGTTTTGGGGTCTTGGGGGCATTTTGGGGGCCTCTTGGGAGCCTCTTGGGGGGTCCTTTCGGGCTTTTCTGGGGGCCTCTTGGGGCCTCGCAGGGGCATTGGGGGCCTCTTGGGGCCTCCTGGGAGCTTCCCGGGTCCGAGGGCTTGAAATGTTCGTTCGGGCTCTTGTGTGGGCACCCTCTTGGAGCCGTTCTGGGGGCCTGTTGGGCCGTCTGGGAGGCCTCTAGGGTGGTCTTGGGGCCCTCTTGGGTCGTTTTGGGGCCGTCTTGGAAGCACCTTGGGAGCCTCTTATGCCGATCTTGGTGACATCTTGGGCCGTCTTGGGGCGTCGGGAAGCCGAAAAGGCGAGAACGCCAGAATCTTTCAAAAAGCCAAAATCAAAAATTCGATGTTTGCCTGTTGGGGCCCTCTTGGTGTGCTCTTGGAGGCCTCTTCGAGCGTCTTGGAAGCTGCTTGGGCTGTCAAGAGGCCATCTTTGGCGTCTTAGACCGAGTGTTCGGCGCTTCGGGGCCCTCTCGGACCGTCTTGGGGGCCTCTTGGGCTGTCTTGGGTCCATTTTGAGCCCCAGAACTCCTGGGGGGAGAATGGCATTCTGACCCGGGTCCCCCCACAGGACCCCTTCCGGGACCCTCCGAGGCCCCCCCTCCCACCCCCGACCTCTCCCCCTACAGTCGGCCCGGAGGAGTAGGTCGACCCTGCCAGCTCAAGGGTGCCCTTGTGTCCCGTGCCCCGCGACACGTGCCTTCTCACGCTCCTACGGCGATGTGGCCCTCGGACGGGTCTCGTGTCCTCTCGCGTGTCCTGTCCAATCCAGGCCGGCTGTCGGTGGAGAAGGGATCCGTGGAAATGGGCTCCCCTCCGACTCGTTGGCGACGCTTCTCCGCCTTGCTTTCGTGCCGCTTCGGCCGGCTCGCTCGAGGAGGAGGGCCCGGCAGCGAGGGGGGGAGCGGCGACGGGCTCAGGGAGAGGGGGGTCAGACGCCGCGGCGACGACGACAACCAGGACCACGACGACCAGGACCACGACGACAAGGACGACCACGACGACAAGGACGACCACGACGACGACGACGACGACGACGACGACGACGACGACGACGACGACGACGACGACGACGGCGCAGTCGAGTCAAACAGAACAGCGTCTTCCACACGCCGACAGGGTCAGTGGATTTTATGGGTCAAGTCAAGCAATACCTCGAAGAAGAATAGTTACATAAACGTACGCTTTCGAAGGTCTGGGCGGATGCTCTGGATCGGCGGTGGATCCCCCCTGGCGGCGCCTCTGGTGCAGCCCCTGGCGCGCTCAGGGAGGGGGGGTGCAGCGACTTCTTTTGTCGCGTTGTAGCGGTTGATGAGTTCTGTGACACGTGGCAGCGATTTCCCTTGTCGCTCCTTGTCCCCAGTGACTGACATCGACGGTCGGAGGGCGACCCTCGCAGACACCGCTTCAAGTCGAGTCAAGACGCAGGACTCGATCCGACCCGATGTTCCGATTCGATGCTGGCTGAGCCTGCCCCCTGCGCCGTAATCTGCAGCGCAGTCTGCTCGCGGGCGACTTCTCGCCCCCCCCCCACTTTTCCTGGAGCAGGCCGCTCAGAAAAGGAGGGGAACTCGGTGATACCCCCTGGGGGGCTATTCGCACGCACCCTTATCGAGGCTGGACGCCCTCTGTCGTGTATCCCCGAGTTGGCCAAAGTTTGAGTCCATTTGGAAAACCCCACGAATTCGGGGATAGGTGTCGACGTATCTCTTATGATCGAAGAACAAACAATCACATTGAGGCAACAACTTGGAGGTCCGCGCAGATTTACCGGACCGGCTCTGGACCCCCCTCCCTGGCGCGCGGAACGCGCTAGGGCCTGCGCCGGAGGCGCCGCCAAGGGGCCCCAGCGTCGATCCGAGGAGTCCGCGAGGACCTCCGAGAGTGTATGTCTATGTCACTGTTTGTCCCCAAGCTGCAGCACTCCGAGTCCGCTTGCCCCGTGCGCCCAGGGCCGCGCGCTTACACCCTGGTCAAGGAGATGCGGAAAAAGCACACGCAAGGTGATGTGTTTTTTCTGCATCCCCTCGTGTGTTAGCTGCAGCACTGGGGTCCATCTGGCGCAACTTTTCACTCCAGGTCCGTTTCTGGCGGTCCCTGGGCCAGAAGACGCAAAGCACCTCCCCGAACCCAGAACCTCGAACCTGCCCGCCCTTCCTGCTGGCCGGAACCAGTGTTGGGCCACCTCACACCCCCCAGAGGGCTCCAAGGCGACATTCGGCGGCGAGCGATGGGGGGAAGTGAGAAGGAGGGGACCTTCTCAGAAGGCGGCGGGGCTTCTCGGAAGCCCTCCAGCTTTCTAAGAAGTTTTCGGTGTCTTCGGGGAAGGCTTAGAACACTTCTCAGAGGGCCGTGTGACTTCGAACCTTTGAGAAGGCCCGCCCCCTCTTGCTTCCCCCCTGGCTGGCCGCCAGGACATATCTACTTGGGTCACAGACAACGCGCCTAGTAAGGACGCGCGCCTTCATCCAGGGTACCCTTGTGTCCTTGCCTCTGCGGCCCGTCCTTTGCCGATACCATTCGTGGCCCGTCGCCCGAAAATCCCGACTTCGGCCTCCGAGGCAGTGCTGGATCTAAGCGGTGCTAGGGCGATTTCGTGGGCCGTTTTCGTTTCGATTCGTTCTGCGGTGAAGGCGGGCTGAAGACAAACGAGGGAGAACGAAAACAAAACGAGAACGAAACACACCGTGAGAACTGCTGCTCCTCCTCCTCCTCCTCCTCCTCCTGCTCCTCCTCCTCCTCCTCCTCCTCCTCCCCCTCCTCCTCCTCCTCCTCCTCCTCCTCCTCCCCCTCCTCCTCCCCCTCCTCCTCAGGGCCTTTGCGTCCTTACCGCCCGTCCTTAATGCACGTCGTGGCTGCCCCTGCCGCGCTCCGAGCCCGCCCGCCCTCCCGCTGCCGCCCAGGGCCGCGCGCTCTCGACCTGGTCGCAGCGCCGCGCCGCTCCGGCCACCAGGACTCGGGAGGGGAAGAGCACAGACACAACGCAGGAGGGACAAAAACACACACACAGTCACACTTAATCCTCGACTCCCAGGAAGATATGCGAAACCATGGGAAGTGGGGGGGAAGACGAACATCCCCCTAAATGTGGAAAACTATGGGGGATCCTGTTCTTTGGGTCTATCTACTTGTGTGTCCCTGGGCCCCTTCAATAACTAGTCGTCGATCCCCCGGAAGATGTGGGAAAATATATGGGTACGTCGGGGGAGGGTGGAAGGCTTCTTCGAAGCACCCTGCTTCTCAGAAGGCGGGCCTTGTCTGTAGATGCATGTGAGGACGGTGCCTTCTGAGAAGCAGCCTCCTAAGAAGCCTTCCCCCCTCCCCCTGCCCCCTTGTGCGCGCCGCCACAGCAGGGAGCCAAGTTTTCATCCATATCCCCGCTCTGGTTCCTTCCCTCGTGGGGGTCGGGGCGTGAACAGGGGCACGAATCAAATGTCGAGCGTCTGTCTTTGGCCGTCGAAGGGCCCAGGAGACAGGTCTAGGCGCTTCGCGTAACCCCACCAGCCCATCCAGATACGATGTCCATGCGAGTTGCCCTGATCAGGGATGCGGGGCAACATGCAGTAGAAGAAGGGGCAGGGGAAGCCGTCATACCCCAAGAGGGGGAGGATGGAAGAGGAAATGGAGCCTCATCCTCCTCCCCCCCTTCCTCCTCCTCCTCCTCCTCCTCCTCCTCCTCCTCCTCCTCCGCCTCCTCCTCCTCCTCCTCCTCCTCCTCCTCCTCCTCCTCCTCCTCCTCCTCCTCCTCCTCCTCCTCATCCCCTCCTCCTCCGCCCCCTTCGCCCAGGAGCAGCCTGACCATGACCAGCCTCAGCACCCGAGCGGCGCCCAGCGGCTGCTTCGCGCCGTGGCAGTGCCTGGCGCCCGGCGGCTGCCTCGCGCCCGCGCGGCTGCGGCGGTGGTCGCCGAGAGGCAAAACGAAAAGCACGCCCTTTGCAGCTTCTCCTCCACCTCCCTCCTCCTCCATCCTCCTCCTCCACCTCCTCCCTCCTCCTCTTCCCTCCGCCTCCTCCTCCTCCGCCTCCTCCTCCTCTTCCGACTCCTCCCCTCCTCCCCTTCCCTCCTCCTCCTCCTCCTCTCCTCCTCCTCCTCCCCTCTCCTCCATCCTCCTCCTCCTCCTCCTCCTTCTCCTCCTCCTCCTCCTCCTCCTCCTCCCTCCTCCTCCTCCTCCTCCTCCTCCTCCTCATCTCGGGCCGAATTCCCACAGGACTGAGCATGCTTGGTACCGATCCATGTCCCTTCCCATCATGTCTGCACATGGGCAGCATGCACTGGCGCTCCTGTCATGCCGCTCTCATGATCGTTCCATTGTTTCGCCTTTCACGGCGGTCTGGTTCTTAGGTGCCATTTGACATCGTGGGTTTCAGCACGGAGAATCGTATGATTTCAGCTTTGGCAATCTCACGGCTGCAAGGATAAACTCATGCACATATTTGTATTCGAACATGTTTGCCACTTGCTTGTCGCAGAGTCAGCGTCAGGCAATCGTTTTGGCAATCTCATTTCTCACTCACAGCTCGATTTGATTAGCGCTTGTTCAGCGCACAGAAGCAACATAGGGGTCCTCACGTAACAAACATAATCAATTCTTGCATGTGATGCCTCGAAATTATCTAGATGGATCTGGTTTCGATCATTATTGAGGCTCGCTTGCCGCACGGGAAAGACCAACCGCACGCTGGTAGTTACACAATGGATCTTTAGTTCGACTCGGCGGCCAGCGCGTGAGATGCATGGAAAGACGCACCGCTGTTTCTGAGGAGTACGTAGGGATTTAGATGTCAATACTGCGGGCAGTCACTCACCACACGCGAAAGAGAGACAGAGAGCAGGCGCCAGTTTGTGGCTGTTCATCCTACTTGTAAATAATTGGTTTCGCTTGTCAATGTTCGCCAGGAATCTTGAAGCCGCATTGTTGCTTCGGAGGAGCACACATGGGCTTTGATACCATTATGACTGGCGCTTGCTTGCCTCATGGGAACTATTAAGCGGTGGCTGGTACATATTTATTTGTTCAACAGTTGGTGGCATTTAACGTATCATTCGTTGGGCCTGTGCTTGCTTGACACACGGAAGATGAATCGTAATGCCACATCAGTCAAAACAATGGTGGACTCCACAGAGGCAACAACAAACAAAACCAAAACGAGTTTGTGGAAGGTCTCGCAACGTAAGAGGTGAGTTTCCCAGCTGTTGCCTTCCAATCAGCTGCTTCCTCCTCCCTGCACTGTGCGCTCGGCTTTGCTGCACTCGATATGGTCAGGCCGCTGCTCGTGTCTCGGTGCGCTTCTCTGTGCGTGCAGGCCTTTTCGTCACGAATGTGCTGCAATCGCTTTTCATAGCTGCCGAAGCAGTCGCCCCTTTGAGTCGTTATTCTAACTAACTTTAGTAACACGAGTATTATCATCTTTATTATTATCAGTATCATATCATTGTAATTACAATTTCCATTATTGCTCTTGTTTACGACTGGTATTCTCATTTACGAGTTTGTTCACCCATTTGTTGTACTCATATTGTTCTTATTACTACTCTTAGTATTCTTATTCGTATTACGCGTATCATTATTATTACTAGCGTTATTCTTATATTAATGGGTATGATTATGCTTGTGATTTTGATTATGATTATGCTTCTGATTAGGAGTCTGATTGTAATTCCGATTCTTACTTTTATGGTCGAAGCCGTGATTCGCATTCTTATGTTTCTTGCCTCTCCTCCTCCTCCTCCTCCTCCCCCTCCTCCTCCTCCTCCTCCTCCTCCTCCTCCTCCTCGTTCTCGTTCTCCTCCTCCTCCTCCTCCGCCTCCTCCTCCTCCTTCTCCTGTAGAAACTTGTGACGGCGGCGGCCCTGGCGGCGCCCCCGGCGCCGCCCCTGGCGCGCTCTGCGCGCCCCAGGAGGGGGGCGCTTAGAAGCTCCGCTCTGCTTTGCTCCGGCGGGCTCCGCTCGCCGATCCAAGAGGTCCGCGCGGAGCTGTGAGAGCCGATGCCTGCGCAGCTTCTGCTCTCTGTCTGCGCTTTCCCTCCCCCTCCTCCTGCTCCTCCTCCTCCTCCTCCTCCTCCTCCTATCCTCCAACTCCTCCCGGGGTGCTCTCGCCGACGCGTCCTGTCGGATGCATGGCCCCGCGTGCGCTCGTGGGGGGCCGCCTCACGGGGCGGGCCCGCGGGTGGAAACCATGTCGGTTCCGAAGCCTTCCAGGGCGATCCAGGATATCAACGACGAGGGCTCGTGAATTTGGGGCGCAAGCAATCTTCACTCGCACGCAATTCTCGAATCCGTCAAGCCAACAATCACAATGCATAGAGACTCGAACTGCGGAAACGGGTTCCCCAACACAAGAGCTTACGGGCAATTCTAGCATGGGCATTGTTGGACCAGATCGCATCGATTGCGTTGTGTCGTTTGGAACTGAAGCATGGCTGAGGCAGAGGAGGAGGAGGGGAAGGGATGATGACGATGTGATCTGAGGGAGCAGGCCTATCTATGACGAGTTGCATGCTGGGTGTGTTTTCTCCTGGCGCAACCATCGGTTGGTATAAGCGTTGAACGTACTTGGCGGCTGACTGCTGCGCCGATACCAGTCGCGCTGGACTGCGGGCCAAGCAGGCAGAAACGCGCGAGAGAAGAACGCCACCACTAGCTCTAGTGAATCTGGGTGTCCGAGACAGGCGCCGTGTCGTTGTCGCTGGGGTTGCGCTTGATGGCTTTCGGCTGGCGGTCGAAATCCATGTCCTTGATCAGGTCGCTAAGCGAACCGAAGGTCGCCATCATCTTCGCGTACTTCTTGCCAAGCCCAGCTTGTTCAGCGCTGCCAGCCACAGATAGCACGACTGTTGCGTCGAACGCCAGATGGCCGATGTCATCGAGGACGGTCTGGGTGTACTTACCGACTGGGATCTTAGCTTTCCAGCTGGCAATGCACATGTTCACCTTCTGCAAGTTGTCCGCCAGGTTCGCGCTATCTTCGTCGAACTTGATGGAGTCCGACTCGCTATCCTCGACCGTGGTTGCAGGGATATCACCCCTGCTTGAATTTCCTGGCTGATGCGCATGGCTGATCGGGGCGGCAGTGCCGTTCTGGCTGCCTGGAACACGCGGCACCTGGCCCCCGAGCGACGCGTTGTCGACTGCTTGGGTCTCATGCTGGCTGTCGGGCATGCTGTTTGGCACGAACGTGCCATCAAGCGCCTGGCCAACAGCAGGCATGTCCAGCTGGCTGTCCTCGGGTTCGTCGGGCCCGAACGGCATCTGAGGCATACTGCGCGACTCGAAGACCGCATTTGGAATGAGGAGTCGTGCCAAAGGGTTGGATGGGTTGCTTGAGCCAACGCGGCAACGGGTGAGGCCACCGTCCAAGGTTTATACTTGTTCGGGGGTGGGGTGGGGGGGCGCGTTTGTGCTGTCGCATGTTGCGATTCGGGGGTTTGTGTTTTCGTGTTCTGAGTTCGGTTTTCTTGTGGTTCGTAACTCTGCATGCTTACTTATACACTGCTACTCCCCCCGCTCTACTTGCTCGTGGTATATGTTTACGTGCATGCGTGTGTTGCCGTTTGTCGTTATGGGCTGTATTATTGCCTGGCTGCACACGCGGTGTGTGCCTGATGTCCCAATCATCCTGCGGTGTTGGGCACTCGTTTTGGATGGACAGCGTCCCGCGTCACTCACCTCCTCCTCCTCGTCCGCCTCCTCCTCGGCACATCTCTGTTCAGTCCGAGGTCCTCTTGCTCCCCGTTGCCATTGGCCGCTGGCCGTCCTGATGCCCACCTGGGGCTGCTAGCGATGTCCATCCTATTCCGCGTGCTCACGCCTCGATTCCAGAACACCCGTGATTTGGGGGCCTCAGAAGCTATGGTCATCCTGTTATCGTACAAGCACTGTCTGGGGAAGTACATCAAGCGCTGACAAAAACAATCGCCTGATTGATGACCCAATCATATGCGGCTGCGCGTGTCGCGGGGCAGGTGAGATGCCAGAGAGGGGCCAGCGAAAGCCATGCGAACACCACCTTTGGGGACTTCGGTGGAGCCCCCTATGGAGCCACGATCCTCGTGCGGGGTGTGCGGAACTGGCCCGAGCCCGCCATGCAGACCTTTCCACTGAGGGCTTCGGTGGAGCTCCCTATGGGGCCGTGATCCTCGTGAGGGGTGTGCCGAACTGGCCCGAGTCCGCCATGTTGACCTTACCACTGAGGGCTTCGGTGGAGCTCCCTGTGGGGCCGTGATCCTCATGAGTGGTGTGCCGAACTGGCCTGGGTCCGCCATGATGACCTTACCATTGAGGGCTTCGGTGGAGCTCCCTATGGGGCCGCGATCCTCGTGAGGGGTGTGCCGAACTGGCCCGAGTTCGCCATGTTGACCTTACAACTGGGGGCTTCGGTGGATCTCCCTATTGCGCCGCGATCCTCGTGAGGGGTGTGCTGAACTGGCCCGAGTCCGCCGTGCTGATCCTGCCATGGAGGTTTTCGGTGGAGCTCCTGGGCGACGAAGCGTGTGAGGTGTGCGTCAAAATGGTTGGCATGCGGAGACCAGAGGCAGGGATAGGATGAGGGAGGAGGGATCAGCGGGAGGAGGAGCGCCATTCCAGGACGTCCCCTAGGCTCATCGATCGGCCCTCGGGGATGGGGAGAATGACGAGGATACGGGGGAAGAGAAAGAAGATGGGATCGGAGCACGACCCCCTTCCCCTCATCCACTTCCCTCCCACGTACCCTCCCTCGTTTTCTTCTCCCCCTCCCTCTACTCCTCTCACCTCCTCTTCCTCCTCCTCCTTTTCCTGCTCCTCCTCCCCCTCCTCTTCCTC